CCGTTTGCCTTTGCAATTGAATAATTATGCGCGAAAATATGACAAATGCTTGCGAAAACGCTAGCGGACAGTCCAAATATTGGGCTTAAATTGACTGCGGGCCAGCGAACCGGGAAGCGATCCTCGCCAGACAACACTTCGCACAGCGCATCCCCATCAAAGCAGAAGCAAAAAAACAATCAAAAATGCCCAAAGCTGGTCATGTAATTAAGGTACTGGGTTTTTACCTCTGTTGTTTTTTTGGACTGTATATTCCCCCTCATTGTATTACGGCGCAGTTTTCTGCTGTTGTCTTCTTTTTTTGTTTTTGGTGGCCTTGGAGATGGCAACGTTGCCGGTCCGATTAAATTTCATGTGATCGCCGCCTGCCGTTTGCCTGGCTGGGCCCCAGAACTCAGTCGAGTTGGTTGTGCAAAGATGAAAATGAGTCAAGTCAAGTTATTCCGAGGTCACGTTGATCAAGTTACCAGCAAACCCGAAACGAGCCTCGTTAACGGCCAACACAAATTGCTGTCGATCCCGTCCAATGGTTGTAAAAAAAAAAAAAAAAAACTCACACACACAGCAACAGCAACAACAATCGCAGTTGACGGAGAGTGTTAATGCAGCCAGGAGGGCGAGAAGGCGTGCCCAGAGCCGAAGGACACTCGTCTCCAGGCCCAGGCCTTGCTAATAATTATAATCTTGTACGTTTCGTACAAAGAAATGCGTCAGCTTTGTAATTGCAGTCATTGTGCAGTCTGTTACCGCAAGAAACAATGACATTAGCCTGCATTTAGCGTGGCAATCCATTTTAAACCAGTGTTGCATAGCAGCTAAAAGGTACTTGGCAACACTTTGTCATGAGAAGAGCTGTCTGAGCTTTTCAGCAGCTACTTTATGCCAATATTCTAACCCAGGGTACCACAAATGTGCACACAGCCATTTCCGCAAGCTTTGAAAGCACATTAGAGCTTTGACACACCGTTTTGAAAGCTCCGAAAAGCTTAAGCTATGATTTATTCTATGAAGTAAATGCTTTCAAAGTAGATTAAAGCTTTAAAAATGTAAAGTTCTTGTATTTTTAAACATACCGAATTCAAAAAGCTTCATAAAAAAATATATACTTTTAGTTGTAAAAGCACATTGTTGCTTTTATGTGATAGAAATAGAGCTTTGACAGTTAATAAAAGCTTTAATAAAAACTGTTTGTTAAGCATCTTGCAGAATGAAAGCCCATTAAAGCATAAGCTTGGAAAAAGCAAAGACTGTAAAATCGTAATTCATAATTAAAGCTGATTAAAGCTTTTTCTAAGAAAAAGCACGGGCTGTAAGAATGACGCCCTTACTTAGATCTGCTGAGATGAATGATTAATCCTAAGCTTTTATTTACTTGCCAAAACTATAATAATAACAATACAAAACTAAATTGATATTTGAAGAGACATGAATTAATTCTATTTGCTGTGTTAAAAAAAAACCCACTCAAAGCTCAGAGCTGGTCAATATAATCTTCCACTAAAGCTTTAAGCTCGTTGTGCTTGTTTTTTGTGCAGTCAAGTAAATGTAAAAGCAAGATTAAAGTAAGATTAAGTGTAGTGCGCAGAAGTCGTTGCGTTCTTATTGTTTCTGCGAAGCATTCAAACGGATCGAGATAAGTTTGTTAACGCATTTGTTTTTAGCTGGAATTAGGCTACATTTGGATTGGCTTAAAATTCTCGGGCATTCTTTTGGCAGAGTCTAGACTTCAGCCTGCATTCGGACACACTTCTTGGCCAGTTGAGTCAGCTCGACTGTTGATTGGCTTTTGGCCCTGTCAAGAGTTGTTTTTATTTATTTGTTTTTTTTTACGGTATTTGCATTATAGCACCTCTGCTCCCCCTCCCCCTCCCCTAGACACGATGACTACATTTTGAAACTTGAAAAAAAATCCGAAAAGCGAATCCAAATGACATTCAAATTGTTGTTGTTGTTGTTGTTGTTGTTGTTGTTGTTGTTGTGGGCCTGTTGCTGCTGCTAAGCGAGCCACCCAAAAGGAACTTAACAAACACAACAAGCACACACACAGATACACACACATACACACACACAGAGACAGGCGCAGGCTAGCGCTTGGCGTGAAAAATAAAAATAAAGTTGTTATAAAAAGTAAAAAGTACAAAAATAATAAAAATAAACAACAACTGTTATTCAACAGTTTTGGAAGACAACATGAGAGTGTGTCTCTGTGTGCGTGTGAGTGTGTGTGTGTGTGTGTGTGTGTGTGTGTGTGTAAAGTATAAATATATACAGGAGTGGCCAACTTGGAATGTTAATGCGCTGCAATCGTTGGTGTTGCCGAGAGCCACTCCAAAAGAGTCGCACGTAGGCAACAGAGCGACGCCGACACCGACGCCAACGTCGACGTTGACTGCGCAGCCAGCGTCAGCGGCAACACCAACGCTCACAACGCTGCGACTGAGCGACAGAGACAGCCCAGCCCAGCCCAGCCCAGCGCAGGGCTGAGCCCAAAAGTTACGTGAGCTTAGCACAGGGCGTAGGCAGCGGGGCGTAAGCGATGGCAGGGGGTGGAGAATGGCGAGGGCGGCCGACGGTGGACGCAGGGCGGAGGGTGTGTGTGTGTGTGTGTGTGTGTGTGTGTGTGTTTGCGCCGTGTTGTCCGTTAAGTGCGATAAGTGGCCGAGACGCAGGTAACGGCGGCAGCTGGACAAAAGCCAAAAGAATTAACCGGCCTCTGCAACTGTACGCCCCCCCCCCCCCCCACACTCCTTACACTTTACCCCTTTCCTATCACCCTTACCCCTTGCCACGGTCCGCGCCAACACAAACCTCTCGACAGGCTGCCGCGTCGTCGCATGTGAAGCCAAGTAAAATTTATAACTGTCAATTATTATGCAAGAGCTGTGAGCAGCAGCACCTCCATCTCCTCCTTCACCTCCTCCTCCTCCTCCTCCTCCTCCACCTCCTTCTCCTCTCCTGCTTCTCCTTCACCTCCCCAGAAAGCAATCAGGAAATACCCGAATCTCCAGCGAATGCCCACAGAGACAACAGACAGACAGCGGGCGACGGAGACGAACACTGGTCAAAGTTATAAACACTTTACCAACACTCAAAAACACACGCACGCACAGTTAACCGAAATTAAGTGGCCCCTACAGCTCGCCCCCCTCCCCCCTCCCTACTTTACTCCCCCTCTACCCTTTACCCGGACTCCAGTGTCGTCTGTATACATATATGTATACTTGAATAAGAAGCATACCGCAATCCACTCGCGAAATCGGAACACGTAGTACTCAATACACAGAGACCGCCCCTCCCCCTCCCCCTTGCCTAGCCTCCTCCATGGCTCCATTCCCGATTCCTCATTCCATTGCCCAATCCCATGCCCGAACCCAGTGTCCAGTGTTCAAAAGGCATTCCCGTTGCCTGTGAGCCGCCTCTTGCCATATTGTTGACTCGGCTCGAAATATTTTTTATTGCTGTGATACGCTCATCGTATAGCCTGTAACCAAAATATTGACAGATATGGATGGATATAGTTAAAGATATATATATATATATATTTTATATATATATATTTAGATATAAATATAGATATAGATATAAATATAGGTATAGATATAGAGGGAACTCTTACCGCATAAATATCACCCTTCTTTGCGATTCTCATGAATTGTTGTTAGTGTTGACTAACGAACTTAATTTCTATCTCTGCAATTCCTTCTGTTTTATCTTTGTCTCTATCCCTATCTGTCTCCGAGTCCTAATCTAATCCGCTTTCTATTTGTTTTGTTCTTTCAGAAATGTGTTTATGCATACGAATTTGCAAATCTGACTACCTTCTGCCAATTGCTTGGGTAAGTGCCTTTATATATATGTATGTTATCTCCTAATATCTGTTAATTATTTGATTATAAACGGATTGACTTTTAATATGTAATAAAATCTATTATGATTTAGGCATATTCCGTACTGCGCCTTGAATTGGTATAAGATTCACATCTATTTCATTTTTACAGGGTATCTTAGTGGCACGGCTTTTCGTTGTTAGCACAAGCGAGAAGCTTGTTTACCGGACCCGGTCAATTATTTGATATCTTGTTTGTTTCTCATTTCTTTCAGCACTTTTTTTATATTTTCGTTCTGCTCTTCTCTTTTTTTTGTTTTCTTTTTTTTGTTGGTTTTAATTTTGGTTTTTTTATTGGCCGCTGGCTCTGATTGTTCTTGGGAGTGCCCCGGGCGAACAGAATCATGGCCCGAACCCGAACCGAACCGAACCCCTCCCCTGGGTTCAATGTACGTCAATTGCGCGGGCTCAAGAGGTGCCCGATGTGCCTGAGGTGCCTGAGGTGCTTGAGGTGCCTGAGTTGGCGAGTTGCCTCAAGAACCTCACCTTGTGGCACGCATCGCGTGCGTGTGTGGGGCGCCAATTGACAGACATCATGACAACAACAACAACAGCAGCAACAGCAGCAGCAACAACAACAACAACAGCAATAATGACTTTTATAATGATCATTATTTTGATGATGATGAGGGATCTCATGTAGGCTCCTATTAAATGATTCACTTTGCATTTATATTTAATATTTTGTTGTTGAAGCTTTTGCAAAAACTTGGCTGAACTGCGACCTTCAATGGCGTTTCCACGATTTCCGGTCTGGGGGTTTTTTCTACATTATTTGTTGTTTTATTATTCAGTCAGTCGTCACTCATAAAGTTCGAGTAGTGCATAATTAAGTTGGCAACAGTCTCAGCCGCTCATCTGGAGGTCTTTTAAATCATCTGCCTATTTATAGAGCAGCTCGTACAAACCCCCAAAAAAAAAAAACAAACAAACCGCATTCATCAAGGAAGCGAACTGAACTGCATACTAAACAGATCTAGCGGGAAGGACAAAGCTATATGCCATATATGGAGCTGAAAGAACTTCCTAGTCTTAAGTTTATGCACTTCGAGTATACAAAATTTGACCAAAAATAGATTTCAATGCGCAAAAACAGAATTTGAGTCGAGGAAGAGTACAGGGAAACACGAAGATCTAGATGAGAACTTTTTCGAATTGGGTATTTCACTGATTAACAGATTAACTAGAACAAACAATTTCCCAAGCTTTGCAATTTGACAAAGAAGAAATATTAGAAAGTTATTTGAACAAGAATTAAAAGAAGAAAGAAGACAAAATATGGTTATGATTAATGGTTAATAGAAAAACTCGTCTAGCATAGATAATATTATAGGTATTCCAAGGATAAAAGAACAAAGGATTATAGAAATAGTTGGGGATTCAGAAATATTAATTAACTTAATTTTTGTATTTTCACAATTAAACAGAAATACTTTCAAAATAAATAAAATATTTTCTGTTTGAGGAGTACATTTAGGGAATCCATATAGATAAATAGATAGATAGATAGATAGATATGGATATATAGATAGATAAAAAGATAGATAGATAGATAGAAAGATAGATAGATAGAAAGTTATATAGATATATAGATATAGATGGAAAGATAGATAGATATATAGATAGATAGATAGATAGATAGATATATATAGATATATAGATAGATAAAAAGATAGATAGATAGATAGAAAGATAGATAGATAGAAAGATATATAGATATATAGATATAGATGGAAATATAGATAGATAGATAGATAGATAGAAAGATAGATAGATAGATAGATAGATAGATAGAAAGATATATAGATATATAGATATAGATGGAAAGATAGATAGATATATAGATAGATAGATAGATAGATAGATAGATAGATAGATAGAAAGATAGATAGATAGATAGATAGATAGAAAGATAGATAGATTTATAGATATAAATGAATAGATAGATAGATAGATAGATAGATAGATATTTAGATAGATAGATAGATATATAGCATCAAATTAGATAGATTATATAAACAACAATGAGATATAAGATAAATATATATATAAACAATTACTTTTAAAGAAATATGTTACAAGATGAGACTCAAGAGAAGAAAACACAATGAGAGACAAATATCAAGAAGATAGAAAAACCAATTTTCCTGTCGCGCCTTCAAAAACTCCTACATACACCAAAATTTCCTGCTCAAAGCTCAAATAAATGTTTGACATTCCACGAGCGGCTTATTTGGTATGGCAAAGACAGGATCTCTGTGTGTGTGTGTGTGTGTGTGTGTGTATGTGGAATGTGTGGCAAACACGCACGGAATGTGTTGGCATCGATCTTGTGCGTGGAACAGAGGAGAGCTGAGCGCGAGGTGGGATCATCTATCAAATCGTGTTTGGGGCTTTGTTTGGGTCAAGCCGCAGGTCTGCAGATTGTTCATGATCATAAATCTTGAAAGGCTGTCTAATGAGTGTCCGCCGTTGCAGTCGCCGGCTCATTCAGGCCGTCAATCAATCAATCAATCAATCAATCAATGCGCCATTGAAATGCGCCATGCAGCAGCCGCCTTTGCGCCCAGCCAAAGTCTCGCACAATGTCTCAATTCCAAGTGCAAAATCAAAAAAAAATATTGATTATTAAATTGTGATCAAGTTTTGCAGTTGTGAATACGAATACGAATACGACTACGACTACATATATTCGGTATTCGGTATTCGCTTTGCGGTATTCAGTATTTAATCGCGTTGTAGTTTTTGACCCACTTTAAGATGTTGTTGCTGTTGTTTCCTTTTTGCTGCTCTTTCATTACAAAATTTGTTTAATTTAAAATTGTTTAACTTGAAATTGAGTCACGGCGTCTGACTGCACAGCTGCCGTCAGCAGCGGCAGTGACGCCGGCGCCGACGCCGACGCCGACGCCAGCAGCGCAGCCTCGAAGTTACATAAAATGGCATTAAAACGATTCAGAGATTGAGTTGTGGGGACCAAAGCATAACTGCAAATGAGTTGGCTGCGTCGGGGGGGGAGGAGACTCGAGAAAGACAGAGGGAGAGCGAGAGCGAGAGAGAGAGAGAGAGAGAGGGAGTGGGGCGGGAGAGGGGAGTGACAGAGGGGCATACCCCCCACAGGCGAAAACCTGATGCCAGAGCTAAAGACGAACAAGCCATTTGGCATTTGCATGCGACAGTCTGTGTGTGTGTGTGTGTGCGTGTGTGTGTATCTCTCTCGGTGTATTGATCAGGTGGAGCAGAAGAAGAAGAAGAAGAAGAAGAAGCAGAAGAAGAAGCAGATGTGGTAGACGCTGCAGTGACAGACAGATCTGAACCAAAGCGAACCGATTCGCTGGCGAACCCCGATTGAGCCAGCTGTAAAAGGTGAACAGCATTTCGCCCACCCCGACCACTCCTCCCTCTGGCACCTGCCTAAAACACCTACCCCCCCCCCTCCCCACCACGACACACACACACTTCCCCCTCCTTGCCTCACTTGGGTAAGTTCACTCTTCTTGCCATTTGCTGACTTTTTCTCGTTATGGCATTTAACACTTTGACATTATTGCCACAGAGTCGGCAAATGTTCACGACGATCACTGATCACTGATCACTAATCACTGATCGTTGGTCATTGATCATTGATCATTGATCATTGAACATAATGAACATCAATCTGTTAGCCGCTTGGTTGAGCTAAAAACTGGGTTTCCGTTTCGCATTCCATTGAAAAACTTCCCCCCTCCCGCCATTCAGCTGCCACTCCCAACGATCTTGCGTCAATCTGGCGACAAGTTTATTAAATTTATATATGTATATTTATTTATATATCTCTATATATATATATATGTATATGTGTGTGTCTTTCGGGTATTGGGTAATTTGGTAATTTGCATTGGCGGGGCTACACACAAAAACAATATTTAATGCCCATCGGAACGTCGCATTGTGGTCTATTTTTTATGGTCTGGCTCGGCCGCATTTAAATGAATCTAATGCCGAAACTGAAACTGAAGCTGAAGCTGAAGCTGAAGCTGAATCTAAATCTGAAGCTCAAGGCCAGACCCAGACGTCAGTCCCCAAGCATCAGCATCAGCATCAGCCTTAGATACCAGATTCGTATGCTAACTAACTAGTTGAACTAGATTTTTGTTTCTATGGCCCGGTTCGAGATCGAAATAGAGATCAGCTCAGCAGCTCTGCAGTTCTCTCGCTCTTGCTCTTGCTCTCACTCTCCCTCTCGCTCTTTGAAGAATGATTGTGATCAGTACAAGTGGTGAATCGTGATCAGTGATCAGTGAACAGTGATCAATAAATAATACCTCGACACCTAATGACTGTTGCCAAAAAATAAAGCGCAGATCAAACTCGCGATCGAGCTGGAGACTGATCCAACTCTTATTCTATAAGCCGCTCTAAATAAGGAATTAGGGGGATCAAAGATCGATATATAGATCAAGAAAGATCGTAGCGACAGAAGACAGAAGAATCGATACACAGCTCGGCATTGGATCGAGCTCCTCTTCTCTGTCTCTTTTAACAAACAGCTATTGTGATCAGTTGCTTCTATGAAATGATCAGCAAAAAGACATACTTAAAGCTTCTAGGCAACATTTAAAACTCGCGATCATCTCTCTATCAGAGCGTCCGTTCTCCTTAAAGAACTGCCAGGCCTGATCGTTGATCAGTGATCGATAAACAGTAAAGATCGATTTATTGATGCTATCTTAATTACTAGAGTGATCAGACATTGATCTCGACCTACTATTAAAACTCTTGGATTCAAGATCGGCAGATCTTGTTGTGCTTTGGGGATCAGCTGGAGATGGAAAGCGAAGGATCGAAGGATCAAGAAAGTGTAGATCGAGCTCTCTGCAGGTTGATCTCAAGCATAACTATGTTCTGTTCTTGTCTGTGATCGGTGACTGTGATCAGTGGCAGATCTGGCATGATCGCAAGGTTAGAGGA